TACAATAAGAAATTAATGGTTTAAATCGCTAGTCATTAACTGCAGTAGTTTTGTGAGAATGCATGAAAGGGTTTATAAATATATTGTGTTATTGTTTGCAAGTAATTGCTTTCGAGTAACAGATTAGTTTTAAATTTAGAGTGATTTACAGGTAATGAATAACTAAACAAATAAATGCAATACTTTTCGTTCACTTCTTTTTCCTCTCGGTCACACACTTCGGACAGAACCACTTGCCCTTAGGTTTAATAGTCAGGCCCACGCACTACAGTTATAAACATTACATTTTATAAGACAGTTCACAATATTATTTTCAAAAATTAGTATACCCCAAAATGAAACCATTCAATGGGCTGTCAATCAAACAAACAGACAATCAATTAATACAAAACCTTGCAATAGATTATATGAGAATTGAAATTTTATAGTAGCCTTTTACTATTTTATATAGAATCTATATTTTTAGCATAATATAGATTCTATATATGAATATCGATATTAAATGAGCACACATAAATACCTAAAAATGAATAGAGTATTATATATTTATCACAGTTAAATATGTAATTAAATGAATTTCCATATATAATATGGTTTTGTAAAAGACTACTATAAAACTCCAATTTTTAAGCGACAAGTCATTACACAATCGGGATTATCGCAGCCAATCATCTCTCCATAGGAGACCTGATGACAGAGACAATACGTGGGCTCATCTGTAATGCAATTCAATACATCATTAGTCATTTTAAAGACCAATTCAACAATCAATCCATTACTGGGATCGACAGCCATATCGAGGCCGATGTCTGCGTTGGCCATCAATGCCGGCAGAACGGAGGCCACCGATGTGTTGGCTAAGGCTATGGTGTCCGTCATTTTAATGTCTTGTTTTTTTCGGCCCTTCCCTTCCGATTCATTTTTGATAACATGTTTAGGATTAAAGCCCGTGTTCTTAGTCTTATCACCCCTTCTGCCCTTTTTCTTGACCTCATCGGTGGCGTGAGGGGTGGTGTCCGTGGTCTGAGTGGTGATGTGCGTGTCTTTCAAGTCGTTGTCAAATTTGGTCAGTTCTGTGTCGAGTCTGCGGATGTGTTTGTCGACCATCTCGTAGGTCTGCATCGCGAGCTGAACCTTATCGTCGCTCAAGACCTTCGCCTTCTCGAACATGTCGTGGATCTGATCGAAACGCTCGCATTTGTCTGTCGTCGACAAATCATTGACAGACAGTATGTAGTCTTCGGCCGATTTGTTAATCTTTGAAACCAGTTCTGAGACATTCAAAGGCATTCAAAAAACACGATAACTCTAAGACTCTCTCTCTCTCACAGTCTCTCTCCTATGGCTCTCTCCTGACTCTCTCTCATTGAGAGAAATTGTTTAATTATTTCCTATAAGTCTTATAACAAACAAAATACTAAACTCAAGAAACAGGAAATTCAAGTGTAATATAAAATATGTGAAACGATTCCCAAAATATCTTTGACTCAGTTTTCAAAAACCAGAAAATGAGGCGATTTTTGCCATTCATTGCTTTTACCATTACTTTCACTCATTTAATCTAATTTTCATTTATAAATAGATTTCTCGATATTTATCGAGAATTTATAGCCAAAAGCATTGCAAACACTGTTCAGTCTAACCGTAAACTGCATTCAATTAATCATTAATACATAATATGTAAGTATATTATACTGTATACTGTAGGACTGTATCACTACTATTACCACTATTGGACACTATATCACTATTTTATGATAATTACCACAAAACACACACAATTTCATATCAATTTAGATTCATTTGCACAACACATCCAAAATTGGCACCAATTTAGACCTAAATGTCACTCAATGACACTAATAGTGGTTCCGACATATATAGGGGACAAACATGTGCTCACTTACCCTCAGTCTTGGTGTCCAAGTCCCTCATGAGTGTGAAATTCCTCTGCAGATCCGTTGGAAGCGTTTCCAAACCTAAATGACGGGACAATGCAATTCCATGTAATTGAATAGTTGATGACAATATGTTTGGCACATACTGTCCAAGAAATGCTCCAGATAAGGGACAGCCATCACATCCACCACTCTATACACACTCTATTCAATGTATTCAATGCTATTAAGCACTGGATTTGCTAATTATATGCCAAATCCCGCACAAACACTGTCCACATGAGTGTCAATCACTATTGTCTCTCTAATAAAGGCCTTCCCTGTGCAGTGTGTATGTGCCATAAGGGCCTAACTCACACTTCATCGCTTTCCCTTTCAATCCATTCAATGAATACAATTACTTCTTGTAATCATTTAATTAATAATTATTTTTAATTTAAAATTTATAACTTTATTGTATTTTATATGAAGTATGGTGTTAATTACTATATTGCACTCCTATGACCATTTATACCTTAACTAAGAAACCTAGTTAATTATTTGTAAGTTATTGCCTTCTATATGTATTAGCTTACACAAATAAGTCCATTATTACATTGTAATTGGCATTCACTGAGCAGTGATACTGTATGATAGACATATTGGACTCATAGAAATCATATGGTAGACTTCAAATTGCAGTCTGCAATATTAATATTAATACTGTACCATTGAATTTGCATACTGTATCATAAGAATAACTGGAATATTAATATATCCGATTATGAATAAGGAATGCACCTATTAATAAATAAACTTGCAATTTATTATTCTAATTATTGAAATAAATATTTTTATTGAATTACTATAAACTAGACTAGAGAAAGTTGTTAGAAAATGGTCATAAACCATGTACTATTGAAATTAAGTTTTACACTTTAGGCTTACAAGTTAGGCTAGTTTTGAAGATAACTTTTTGTATCAGGTTAATAACTTATTAACTATTAGTTTATGCAAGTTTTTGTTAGTTAGGCTTTAATATAATAATTTATTTTATAGTGATACAGTGAAAATATTTAAATTAACTTGTAAATTATGAAAATACCTTAATACTGCATCAAGTTATTTAGAACTTTTGAATATCCTGTTTAAGTATGAAATATAGCTATAAAATAAAGTTTATTTCATAATAATATATTTAGCATTTTATTTACAATATATTTACTAATCAAAAGTTAAAATTTTGATTTTATTAAGGGCAACAAATAAACAAACACCAACAAAATTTTGGTTCAAACATTTCATTAATTAAAATTTAAAAATGTTAACAAAATAAATTATTATAAACTGCATAATAATTATAAATAAATAAGTATAAGTCTAGATAACAAATAGCCACCAAACAACTAATGACAATATTAATTGCATTTCATTTATAACAAATGAAACAATTGGTAATAAAATGTGTTAATAATTGGATGTCACGGATATATTATCGGGAAGACAGGCGCCATCATCAAGAGATCCCCACTTTCTGATATCTTGTGAGTTAATGGATTGCATTTGTTTGAAATTGGATTCTGCCTTGCTATTTTTGATTCCATAACCAAAATACACAAATAATCCTGCAATTTAAAAACAATAGTTGTACGTTAATTTAGTTACAAAGACATTAAATTNGGTTTTTGAAAACTGAGTCAAAGATATTTTGGGAATCGTTTCACATATTTTATATTACACTTGAATTTCCTGTTTCTTGAGTTTAGTATTTTGTTTGTTATAAGACTTATAGGAAATAATTAAACAATTTCTCTCAATGAGAGAGAGTCAGGAGAGAGCCATAGGAGAGAGACTGTGAGAGAGAGAGAGTCTTAGAGTTATCGTGTTTTTTGAATGCCTTTGAATGTCTCAGAACTGGTTTCAAAGATTAACAAATCGGCCGAAGACTACATACTGTCTGTCAATGATTTGTCGACGACAGACAAATGCGAGCGTTTCGATCAGATCCACGACATGTTCGAGAAGGCGAAGGTC